GCGATTCCATAAATCTATCAACTTCATTTTTGACTATTTCTGGCTGCTATAACTCGATAAGCTCCTCATAAATCGTCCATTGGATTATTAATGAAACAAGACAGAGCATTTTGCACATATTGGAAATCATCAGACTGTGTGCACATATTTATTACTATTGAGTCTACACATAATCCAACGAATGAATTAAGTCGCATCATTTTCTCGTGTAGGTGGTTTGTTGGTACTATAAGAATCTGTCGCGTTCCTTTCTGTTTTCTTTATTTTGCTAATAAAGAACGTCTTTTGATTAATTTATGTATGGAAAGGCATGCGGGTCGTCTGCGAATATTTTGTAGTCTGCTGACTCTAGTGTGAATATGCTAGAATCCAGTTCATAGCAGTTCATAGTGGAACTCTTTAAACACATCGACTGAAAGTTTAAAATCCTAATTAAATTAAAATGAAACTCAGTTTTGCGTCTTAAAATAGCTTACTTCCAAATCCAAACAGATTAAAAAATTAAACGAAAAAAAAATCTTGCTTCCATTATCAAATTTGTGCTAAAAATATTCTCAAAAATTAATCTTTTATCAACTCAAAGCTTAGCTGACACAATAAATTTTTGCGATATGTCATGAGAATTTAATAAGGGTTCGTTCACTTATTACGTAACGCACTAGGGGGGGAGGGGGGGTCTAAGATTTTGTTACGGTTTGTTACAGGGGGAGGGGGGGGGGGGTCTAAATTTTGTTACGTAACTTTTCAAAAAATATATTTTTTTATAATTTTTTCTATATTAATTTTAAATTTTAAAGGAAGTATAATAAACATTTGATAAACAATTTAAATGAAAAAAATTATTGTTACGTTATTGGGGGGGGGGGGGGGGTCTAAGATTTTGTTACGCTTTGTTACAGGGGGGGAGGGGGGGTTCTAAAAACTCGTTTTTTTGCGTTACGTAATAAGTGAACGAGCCGTAAATAAGCTGCAGACTATGAAGTGCACTTGAGGCAAATTATACAATAATTGATGGTAAAAATCTCGTATTTTTTGATGGAACAAGAAATAAATGAAAATTGATGCGAGTGGTTTTACGATTGCCCAATAAAAGTTTTATGACAATTTTACTTTTACAGAATCTGCTCAAGCAGGATCAGATATGCAATTTTTTTAATATTAAGGGATGTCCATAAATGACGTCTTTAAAAAAATTGAATTTTGAATCTATGAAAAATTCAAACATTCTTTTACAAATTGATAAGTGCCAGCCATAGCCCATACTCCAAAAAATTAAACGTCATTTATGAACGATCCCCCCCGAAGCACTTTGAGACCATTGATAAATCGTAAATAAAATTCAAGCACAGACATGAACAAGATACGAAAAAGACTATAAAAATGTGCCATAAATTGAGAAGTGAATGTGAATCCTTCGAAAGGATCTAAACGAACGAACAGGAAACATAGAAAGTTATAATAGGGAGAAATATTTATGGTTGTGATTTTAACAGTTACACTTTTACAACTTTCAGCAACAGACTTCTGCATATTACCTTGTTATTGCTCTTGTCTCCACTTTTTATTGATGCTGCTTAAGACTTTTGATACCTGTCGTTGTTGTTGTTACTGGTTAAAAAATCATAGACTGTTAATAATTTTTTATTAGAAGTACTTTCGGGTTTTTTTGTTGTTGCCGGGTCATCATTAGGGATTTAAAAAGATTTTATGGTAAAATTGATGGAGTTTTAAATGAAGAAATTCACTTGACTGAACTTGCAGATTTCAAGACAATGTTTAGCTTCAAATTATGTCTAAGAAGTGTGCCTTAATAAATATTAATCTGCCTAGTCTAGTTCATAGCAATACTGAATGTGCCTTAAATCAAAAGTAGAATTATCAACCTCTCATTTAAGCTCTTTAAATTATTGATTCATAATTTATTTAAAATAAACACTGAAAACCTATAATTAAGCTCCATGCAGTCCTAGATTTAAAAACAACTCAAAGCTGGTTGCTGTAGACATAAACTAAAATTTCTGATTCAAAAAATCCCCAAAAATATTATAAAATCAATTTATTAATATCAAAATTTCAAAGCCATAAACCACTTAAGTGAGCATAAACCAATTTTCATCCACAGTCCACATTTTTGCTATCAACGAAATTATCACGATAATTTATGATTTTCAATTGATAATAAAACCATAAAGATCGAGAGGAAATATAAAAAATTTGTTTAATATATGACACGAAATTAAAAAGTAATAAAAACTAGATTTCGGAATCAACAGTGTGAGGCTTTAAAGTTATTTTTAATGAATTTTCGTTCGCTCTTGTAAAAATAAAAACTAGGAATTGGCAAAATTTTGGATCCTATTGTCTACCTTTGAATATTTTTCTCACGTTTCTCAATTTTTAAGAATTTTTTATGTACATTTTGATTCATATTCGAGGCTCTTGTTAATTAAAATTTTAATATGTTGTGTCTATCGAAAAATATTAATAACAGCTATAACTACTCGTGTGTTAAGAAGAGGACAATATTTATGTCGTATTTCAAGCTTGTTTATGATATTTAGGATTGGTGAATTATGGCTGAAATTCAGTATGAGATCATTAGGGGTACTTTGTAAATCTGCCGATGCTATTCTACGTTAATTGAGAATGTGAACTTTAGTCTAGCTCGTAAAATTTTTAAATCATTTATTGGAACCAAGCTGATTTTGAAGGATCATTTTCAAAGATTTTATGGAGATGATAAGGTTGAGATTAGAAATTCCAATCCACATTCCTATAATATTCAAATATTAAGAATTAATCTTAACAGATTCATGTCAGTCGGAGAACGTCATTAGTGAACGAACCCTTAAATTATCTCAAATTCCCTTTAATCCGAATAAATTAACTTTAATGATTAATCTCGTAGAAATTTTCAAGCAAAAATTCCCATTCTCACTTGACTTCACAACCAGATGTTGTTCTTAAGAAAATAAGAGTCAATTAATTATCTGCATAGACTTAAACTTCTTCAATTTCAAGCAAAGAATATTGCATCTTTTAAATATTTCACACAAAAGCTGCAAATCGCTTTAAAATTAATTGACTGAGTTTCTTTTTTTTCTTTTTTCAAAAACTTATCATTTTTCATAATTTTTTGGACCTTTCTTTGGAACTAATTGTTGAACCGATTTCTTGTGTATAGCACATGTGCATCTCTTGAATTTGTTGCACAATATTTATTGAAAATATTTCCCAAATTTCTCGAGTGCCATTATCACAAAGAATTTATTTTGTTGAGAGATGCTTAAAGGATCATGTTTTTTAGCTTGAATATCTTTAAAAGCTATTGGATGTCTTCAGTTTGGGTGATTTTAAAAAAGTAAGCAGCGCAGATTAACTTAGTTTTTAACTAGATCCATAAATTACTCAAAATCTTGCAAATATTATTAATTTGTTGATTAAATCAATATGCAGTTAAAAACTGTAGCTTAATATACAAGGCTGCAATTATTTCAAAGGCAATTGCAATGATTTAACAAACTATTCAGCAAATCAAATTCAAAACACAAAAATAACTTTAATTATTTTCTAAACTGATCATACAATTGAAATAGCATTCAACATGCACCTTATTCTTCAAGATCCACCATACATTTCTTACTGTTCTTGAAAATATGAAACCAGTTCGTATCCAATACTTCTTCAAAAAGGATTCATAATGCCGTTCAAATATTTTTTGAGACTTTCTTGTTGATCTTTTGTTTTATTTTCTCAAGGATTCGTCTGTCTGGTTTACTTTGAGCAATTTTATGAGATGTTTAAAGATGCACCATGCATGTGAATAGACTATGTGTATATGGAAAAAAAAAGAAATCGGATCAAGTTTCATCATCGACAGCAACAACAAAAAAAGATAGAGAAATGTAAAAAAATCCTTAAGAACCGTTTCTTTTCTTCTAAATGTCGATATTTTAGTTTGATGGGAAACATGTTGTAGTTCTTGATTGAAGATGTTTGTTTCTCTCATGGCGATGGGTGACAATGATGATTTTATATGTTTTTTTTTGTGCACATCCTGCATCTAAATGTTTCAGTTTTTAATGCTGAATTATCTTTACATTTTGTTCGTCTTCTTTCTTTACTTTTTCTTCTACTTCTTCTTATGTTTGTTGTAGGTGTTGTAAATCATTTGTCTTTTACAATATGTATGCTTCTTTAAGACCGACGACAAAAGAATCATCGTTTAGTTTATTGGCATTGAAGACAATTGCTACGTAGTCAATTTGTGCAAATAAATATTGATTTTTTTGCACTTTTATGAACCTTTAAGTGAGGCTAATGTGAGTAGCTATGAGTAAATGTCGATTATGGACAAGAACTGCTTGCAATTGCAGCAGAAATTCGAGAAGTTCTGTAAAGTTCTATAAAATGTTAATTCATTACTTCGGGTTATTGAATTATTGAGGTAGAACAGGTTTTGAACTGATCAGCAGAACATTTTGCGAAGCAGGGCTCCGAATATATGACGCTGGGATCAAGGAAACATTTCAAATTCTGAATAAGATTAATTCCACATCAAAATCAATCATTTCTGGATGAATCTGGAACTTTATAAAAACTTACTCACTGTACCTGAAAGCAATTTTATTTTAAATACATTATACCTAATTGAGCATTTAATCAGCAACAAAATAGTCGTATAATCAAGGTATATCAAGATTTTGAGAGTTATTTTCAGTCTCAGTGTGCTTTTTTGCGTATTTTAACAAAGTTGATGTACCTTGCATATAGTTGAGTTATTTTAGGTGAAAACTTACATAAAAGTATCAAGAAAGCATCTTAGCGATAGTTTATTCGACACATGTTTGCATATGTTTTCAACTTCTGTCACGTTTTCATTACTGAAGTTGTTCTGTATACAAATAAGTCACAATTTATAAAATTTATTCATTTTCTCTTTTCTTTTTCTTATTTTCTTTGCAGATTACTTACATTCATTGAGGATTAAATTATTGGATCTAAGTGAAATATTTGTGTAATTTTTTTAAAGAGATTTAAAGATTTTGACACACTAGATGTCATAAAAATTAAAACTTAGCTTTAGTTTTGCAATTGTGTCATGGAATTAGAAATCTATGAAGCAAATTTAGCGGATATTGCGCTACAAGAACAAACATTTTATGAAACAAAGCCAACATTTGAGGAACTTCAAATGGCAAGTCAGTTATTAAACAGTACACTAGCATCTCAAAATGGCCATTCCGGAACGTTTACATCACCATCAACCTTTCCAATTCTACAACCGATTCTCAATACCGGTAAAGGGAAAAAGAAAAAATCGGTCAAGTTCTTAACTTATGTTCAGGTGAGTGTTTTTTTCTCATTTATGCCTTTAATTGTACATCGAATTGCTTGGTTTGTTGAGAGAAAATACGAAGAATCGAATGGGAAACAAGTATGAAAATCAAATTGGGGATTGATATTTCATTTTATTTTAATTGCACTTTATTGCATTTATTGACGACATACTGTCCGGAAATAATTCACATTTTACACTTTTGTATTTGTATACATATGAATTAGTATTATGTAGGATCAAACTTCTAATCTTCATATCTAGGTTTCAAATAAACTAAGGCTCTCGTTTCGATCTTCTGTAGGCGTTACGTGATACTTTTCAGGTCCGTTCTATCAATATTCCATTCGTGGGTAATCTTGTAGCTCTCGTTCCTATTTCTCCCGCTACACTTCAAGTTCCTGACCCGTTCGATATTAAGCGCATTTGTATTTTTTTAAGTAGTTCTTACATTTTGAGGATATTGGGATATTCTGCAATGTTTGAATCTATATGAATAAATTCATAAGATGTCTTCTATATACTTTCTGAACGACCTAATCTGTAAATTAATCTCTCACCTCATTGTTCGATTAAATTCATTATTCACAGACAAAACTAGAGACACGAAATCCTCCATAAATTCGCAACAAATTCTTTTATCAAAGCATTTCGCGAATCGAAAAAAAAAATTAATTTCATTTAAAACTTAATATTCCAATCGTGTGTTTACTTCTCTCTCCTCTCTATCTTATTATTGAATGAAGGAATTACTGCTTCTTCTTAATCTTAATTAGAAATGCATTAACAGTGTAGATTCTTTTATGAATGAATTTCAACTTTTCTTCATTTATTTCTTTTTCATTGATTTATAGCGTGAGTGTATGTCTGGATATTAGTATGCTATAAGAAGGAAAGAAAAAAAAAATATGTAGATATGTGCACGTGAGAGTGTGTGTTGGCTTTTTGATTATTTTTGGCTCTTTGGCCGCAAGACAATGAAAATTCTTAAAGGCACCAATCATTTATATTTATTCTACAAAACTCGCGCGTTTCCTTTTCAGTATTTCATGATAAAATTTTTTTATTTTGAGTTTTATTAATGTCATTAGCATAAAAGGCACATAAAAATATTTATTATTAGCGAAGTTTTTTTTGCAAACTGAGGGAGTGTAGAAAGTTAAACGGTTTACTGTAAGATAGCCATGATGCTCGACCAAACTAATGGTCTCAATTTCAATGAACGAATTGAGTTTGTTGTTTATAAATATGATAAATTGGCAATCAAGATATAAAGATCATCATACAAAAATATCACAGTTTTTAACGGACAAAATTTTGAATTTTCTGTAAACACTAACACTATGAAAGAAAATATTCAACTTTTGTTTTGCAAAATTTTCAACTTTCTGTTATGTTCTTTTGGTACAGGAATATTGCAAATGCTTTACTTTTAATTATAGTAACTGACTAAAGTCGAATATTTATGCATTTATCAATACTTAAATGAAAACTTGAAAATTGAACATTTAACATTTTTTGTTTGTTTTAGTATACAAAAAATAGTATAGTCGAGTATGGTCAAGCATACTTTGTATGAGTTTATTTATCTATCTTGTTGGCAATAAGATGCACTATGGGGCAAAATTGAAAAAAAGGGGTAATTCACTTCGAAAATAGGACTCTTTCAATTTAGGTTCTCGGGGTATTTTTTTCTTGTAGAGAACAATAAATTAGACTTGCATGCCAAATTTCAGACCATTTTGTGCTGTTTTTGAGATTCTAGAGCTATTTGAAGTTGAAAATGAGCAAAAAAACTGGTTTTTTCATGACATATTTAAACTTAAAAATCTCTGCAATGTTTAAAGTTATTGAAAAATTGTTTTCGGTTCCTATAAGAACAATATAAGAGCTTTATTTTAATGTATTGTAAAATTTTTAACTTTCCAGTTTTGGTGCTGGTATGGTTGGAAATGTACGAAAATCCTATGAAAAATATCTATAAACGTGCCGCAACTATCTTAGCAAGTCGATTTCCAGGTAACTGAATATACAGAAATATAGCTCTTGATATACAGTTTGTAAAACTGTATAAACATTAGAAATAACAAGGTACGTTTTTGAGAAAAATTGGTTTGTGTAAGTCGTGAAATATTAAGCCAAAAACTGATTTTTCTCTTAAAAATAACAAATCATTCATAGTAGAAAAGTTTGGTAATGTTTTCTAATTGCAAATAATATTTAAAGACAACCTGCAAAGATTTTTTTTCGAAAAACTCAAAATTTGACGAGATATCGGGTACATTTGATATCTGATGACTTGTATGTTTTTTGCACCACTCAAATGACTCTAACTTTTGTTTAACTTAATATTTTTCAGTTCTGTTACCTGTTTATTGTAGCTTAAGTCAATACCTTTCTAACAATATATAATACTTGATAGTTGCATATGACATTGATCTTGATTATTGGCATTGTTTGTGAATGACCCCAAAATAAGAAAAATCTTGAAAACAACATTTCTAGAAATACCACTTAGAAAGAAAATTGTATATTGTTTTGAGGTTTTTTATGATGATTTATGATAATTATGACTGTTAAAACTCAAAAACATGGAATTCATAAACTTTTAGCGATCTCAGGTAGCCTGATTAGGTACGACCCTAGTAGTATCTATTGGACCAGAAAGTCTCTAGTATCAGACTATTTTAAAAACTCAAATTAATGAATTCATCATATTTAAGCATATTTATAGCAAAATATTTCATTTTTTGATACTTTTGGTTGAAAAATTGTGAATTTTGGCTATTTTGTTTAAGTTCAGCTTGCGTCGGTCACATTCAAACCACTCTAGTTGCAACTATAATGAAGTTTTATACCAGTATTATACATTATCTTAAAGGTACTGATCTAAACTAGCAATAATTGAAAACAGAATGCAAAAATATGTATCCTGAAAAAAGTTAGAGCTCTTTATGTACATAAAAAAGCATACAAAAACGCAACCATCATAGGTAAAAATACAAAAATTTAAAATTTCAACGAAAATCTTACAAAAAAGTATTGAAAATGTGTTTATATGTGGTTATTATTACAAAAAAATCAAAGCTTGTCAAAAAAAAACTGATAAATTTTAAATTTTTGTATTTTTACCTATGATGGTTGCGTTTTTGTATGCTTTTTTATGTACATAAAGAGCTCTAACTTTTTTCAGGATACATATTTTTGCATTCTGTTTTCAATTATTGCTAGTTTAGATCAGTACCTTTAAGATAATGTATAATACTGGTATAAAACTTCATTATAGTTGCAACTAGAGTGGTTTGAATGTGACCGACGCAAGCTGAACTTAAACAAAATAGCCAAAATTCACAATTTTTCAACCAAAAGTATCAAAAAATGAAATATTTTGCTATAAATATGCTTAAATATGATGAATTCATTAATTTGAGTTTTTAAAATAGTCTGATACTAGAGACTTTCTGGTCCAATAGATACTACTAGGGTCGTACCTAATCAGGCTACCTGAGATCGCTAAAAGTTTATGAATTCCATGTTTTTGAGTTTTAACAGTCATAATTATCATAAATCATCATAAAAAACCTCAAAACAATATACAATTTTCTTTCTAAGTGGTATTTCTAGAAATGTTGTTTTCAAGATTTTTCTTATTTTGGGGTCATTCACAAACAATGCCAATAATCAAGATCAATGTCATATGCAACTATCAAGTATTATATATTGTTAGAAAGGTATTGACTTAAGCTACAATAAACAGGTAACAGAACTGAAAAATATTAAGTTAAACAAAAGTTAGAGTCATTTGAGTGGTGCAAAAAACATACAAGTCATCAGATATCAAATGTACCCGATATCTCGTCAAATTTTGAGTTTTTCGAAAAAAAATCTTTGCAGGTTGTCTTTAAATATTATTTGCAATTAGAAAACATTACCAAACTTTTCTACTATGAATGATTTGTTATTTTTAAGAGAAAAATCAGTTTTTGGCTTAATATTTCACGACTTACACAAACCAATTTTTCTCAAAAACGTACCTTGTTATTTCTAATGTTTATACAGTTTTACAAACTGTATATCAAGAGCTATATTTCTGTATATTCAGTTACCTGGAAATCGACTTGCTAAGATAGTTGCGGCACGTTTATAGATATTTTTCATAGGATTTTCGTACATTTCCAACCATACCAGCACCAAAACTGGAAAGTTAAAAATTTTACAATACATTAAAATAAAGCTCTTATATTGTTCTTATAGGAACCGAAAACAATTTTTCAATAACTTTAAACATTGCAGAGATTTTTAAGTTTAAATATGTCATGAAAAAACCAGTTTTTTTGCTCATTTTCAACTTCAAATAGCTCTAGAATCTCAAAAACAGCACAAAATGGTCTGAAATTTGGCATGCAAGTCTAATTTAATGTCCTCTACAAGAAAAAAATACCCCGAGAACCTAAATTGAAAGAGTCCTATTTTCGAAGTGAATTACCCCTTTTTTTCAATTTTGCCCCATAGTGAGATGGAAACTTTCCAAGATAACCTTTTACAATAGTTTACCTTAGTGTGTACTCCATTAACCAAATCTAATGAAATCTCTAAAATCTTTAATATCTTTAAAATGCGCTTCAACTATTCTCAATCGATTCTCAACTCTATTCTTGTTAATCTCATCAAAACAAATTCAATCAAATCACGAACTTGAGCCAATTTTATTTCATTCATAAATAAGATTCCAATTATTTCAAAGCCAAATAAAATTCATAAATCACACACAGAGCATTAAAAATTGAAAGTTATTTGACACATTTTAAAAAGGATTTCTTGATAAGTCGCTGAATATATTAAATGTCACACAAATATGTTACATAAAAATTTATCGCGTGAATAGAATAATTTTTTAAAACCTCATGTCAACCTTCAGAAATCCTTACGGGTTGAATTAATTTCTGATGAAATTTATAACATCATCAGTTCTCACGATAAGAAATCAGGCATTCATATGCACATAAAAA